ATCCCTAACGGTCTGGGATTCTGTGAAATTCTCTAACATTTTTTTTTTAAATCAATCTACATCTTCCCTGAATCAAGAAGTGCATTTTTGGCTACTAAAATATAAATTAGGGTGAGGATCCTGGTCCTAAGTTCTTTACTTAGTCTTTGAAGCAGGCCAGTTTTGAAGACCAAAGAAAGAAATCCTAGCCTTCAACACAAATTTCAAATCACCTGAAATAAGAGATTCTAAGCAGGTTTCACTTTACTTGCCACCTGCAGGTCATAAATTCATGGAAAAGCTGAAAATAGCCATCCAATCCATCCAAAAAGTACTCCAGTCTAGATAGATAAATTTTAAAAAAACAAACAAAACTTACCAAAACAGCAAAAAAATTACTTGCATTTAAAATCACGAATGCAAAAATCACAAAATGGGTGGGGGGGAAGGACACAAAGACGAGTCTTCTGGAGCAAAAGATAGGAAGCTAGCAGAGCATCAAGTCTCTCTTTCGTCTATACATCATCACCATTTTTGGTAATAACTCATGTTGTGTACTAATAAAAAAACAAAACATGACTTTTTTGCTGTCAATGTCACTGGTTTTCACCAGTGGTTACAAAAAAAGCAGCAATGAAATGAACAAGTGAACTGCACGTAATGATCGCAAGATTCCATAACACTCTACAGGAGTCGTAGATCAGGACAGGTTACTGGGCAACAGTGAGCCATATTCCACCTCAAAATAAATTAAAAATACTTAAAAAAACCTACAGAAGTCAGATTTTACAAACCATGCTACCCAAGTTAAGCAACTGCAATGGAATAAGGTTTCAGTGTCCTGCTGTTTCTCACCCACCAGAATCATTCTGACTTTAGTACTGAGATGTCTTGACTGCTCTGAACTGAAAAACACCTTCAATTGCCTGACAGCCCTGCAGCAACTGCTTGTATAGAACACTAGATTGTTTACCCATCTGATTTTCCTTCTTGTGCTATCTTACTGTTTCCTTGACTCAAGCTGTTCTTCCTTATTTCCCTTCTTGTGCTTTCCCAATTTAAGTGTTTCTTCCCCAGAACTATGGAGATGCGCTCTTTAAAACATCACTTTTTAAACATCAGCCTGACAGAAGACAGCTACCAGTCATTCACTTTTAAAAATAAACATTTTTCAAATAAAGTTTAATTCTTTTTAGAAAAACATTAGCAGTATCCTGTCATTCGGTTTATAGCACTGCAATCCATATCACAAGCAGTAAAGTCAAACACCTGTTAGACGTTCTTATAGAAATTTAAAAGGGGAGAAAAAAAGAGTCCATTGGGCAAAATGTCAAAAAAGATACTGTCTTATTTCTGTTTATAAATACTTGTCTCTGCTCAACTTTAGGTACATAATTTCTGTAAACCCCTAAGTGAAAAAGTAATTTCAAGTTTAACAGAACTTTTCTCTTTTCATCCCAATGAATTTGACTCAGTAAACAAAAAAAGTATCAACACCTTAAGTTTCTCTTTAATTACAGATACGCAGACTGTGCTGTTTCATTACTCACTTTCAACAGCTATTTGCTTTGGAAAACATGTTTCTCGTTCCAGAATAACACAACTTTCCAAAGACTGGTATTGCATTTTTAGGTTCTATTTTTCTTACAGTAATTTTTAGATTTTCACATAAAAGTAAAGCTATTGCTTTCCTTTTTTTCTTTGTAACAACTAATTTGAAGAACGTGTAAGACCTTTAATCATCAGATGAACTACAGAGATGTGAAATGAAGAAAAGGCATCATTACCTTATCTCTGTCCTACTGCTGCTTGTGACGTTTGCTCAAACTGACAGCATTAGACTTTCAACTTCTGAATTCGTAACAGGTGAAAAAGTACACGGCTCCAAACATCGTGTGGCACCATTACCACCCTTTTATTGGTCAGAGGACAATAACGGATTAACTGCTAGGAGACAATGTGATCACCGCTTTGCAAGAGCAAAGACAACCTCTTAATACTACAGGCCTCTGCTTAATATCACAATGCCACAATTCTATGCTTAGAAAATTTCTGCTACTACAGAAATACTAAAAAGTAGTGACAAATTCTGGTTTTTATCCACTGTTTCTGAGTTTTCTGTTGTTATCAAGGCAAATGTGATGAACACTCTTGTACTCACTCTGACATTCTATGAACTGATGAATAAAAGTGCAGTCCCCTCCACTCTTTGAAAGAAAGTGCTCTAGTAAAGAAAGAAACACTTAAGTTTACATCTTCTTATTTTCAAATTGTTGCAATAACAAATTTGAAAGGTTTATTAACAATATTTGTAATTGTGTATTTACAGTGAACTTTTGAAATCTGAGTTAATATGCAGGCAGATAAGACATGTAATTGAAATGATGTCTGAGTGATATTAGAAAATAATTACTTTCCTCTGATCGGTTCAAGAGAAGTATTATAACTGCATTTTCAAAGGGTACTTTTAAGTACTAAAATCTAATAGCGGTTCTTAAGCATAACGAAGAGCCCCTTACCGCAACAAAAGGTATTAAAAACAAAACAAAACACAACACAACACAACCTTTATTTAACAAAATGTACTAAGAACCAATTATTAAATGTCCAACCATTCTGCATTTGGCCCTTGCTGTATTGCTCTTCCAGGTTAGGTGGTGACAAATGACTGCCACTAAACTTTCATTGACAACTCCATCTTTTTTTGAGCAAAAAGATTAATGCACATACGTGATATTTAAATCACAATCAATTTAGAATACATAGGATGACAAACTACTGAAACATGCAACTCCATAGCTCTGATGCCTTTAGTTCCTCCCATTTTCTAATTCATAATCAGACAGCGGTAATAGCAAATAGCTAATCCAAGCACTGAAGAAATAAGAAGCAGGTATTTAACCTATATTCTTCAGCATTTTTATTAGCTTCAAAAGGGCATTTGATAAGTTTTTCTCTGGTCTTCATGCTTATTCTTCATATCTAATATCCTCTTCTAATGAAAAATATTTATTTTACAAGTGTTCCTGCAAATCTCCTTTTAATTTTTCAACCAAGCTTCACTGCACAGAAACAACAATTTATGAAAGGAGAGATTGTAAAAGTGGGCTCAGTTCCCAGGTTTGCCCAAGTCTTCTATGTGACCTTGTTCAGCTCCCAACTCCATCAGCATCTTGCATCTCTTCAAGGAAAAAGATGTTAACGCTTCCTTTCTGAAGAGTCTCAAAAATCCAGCAATCTGAAGACTGCTTTTTAGTACAACAGGCAAAGTGCATTATGATCTAACAAAATTGTTCAATCATTAGCTTCTGATACCAGAAGCTTACCTGTGTATCTAATATGTAATGCTGAGCTTTACTATGTTTCAAAGTTACTCTGAAAAATAAACTTTTCTAACCCACAAGGGCAGGACTTTTAAAAGAGAGCACCATGGCTATAACATTTATCTGTCATATTTAAACTTTTTTCTTTTTAGCCTTATTACATGATTCTTTAAGTGACTATATACAAATTTCTCATCCCTTTCTTAACATAATATATGTCTCATAAAACTTAAATATGAAAGCCAGCGGTGGTGTAACTCACTGAGAAACACACTTCTTATTTCAGTAACTCAGTTCTACACGACCTTTATCAGTGGCCTGATGTATGAGCAAGTGACTCTCTTCTGCATCAGAATTTCCATATGTGCAATGAGAGAAAATGAATGCCCAACTATCATTGTTTTAATAAACTGTTATTAAAAGCTTCTAGAGAGGCTATAACATGAGTTCTTAGTTCCTCTACTCAGACTACAGCTCTTTTCATGTTATGGACATCCACAGAAAAACGTAGTGTGCCTCTAAACATACCTTGAAGACTTGAGCTGAAGTTTTGAGAGACAGACACAAAGGGAAACTTAAAAAGCATACTGATTTTACATGGGTTTACCATTTTCCTCTGGCAGGAGTGGGAGGGAAACGTATGTATACCTTTGTATACAAATAAAGGAAACATTTTTTTTTGTTCCCTTACAGGCTAAACAAAAAAAATAAGACAGACACAAAGGGAAACTTAAAAAGCATACTGAATTTACATGGGTTTACCATTTTCCTCTGGCAGGAGTGGGAGGGAAATGTATGTATACCTTTGTATACAAATAGAGGAAACATTTTTTTTATTCCCTTACAGGCTAAACAAAAAAATAATTTTAATTTCTGACTTCTGCCTTCAAGTGCAAAGTTTTTTCCTCGTGCAAAATATCTACAATCCCTTTCACTGCCAAAGTTGCTGAATCTACATTATAAAACCTAAATTCTTAGCTCTTCTAAAATAACGCAAGACTACTCAGCAAAATGAATCAGTAACTGCCTCCTGCTGCTTTCAAGAGAACAAAATCTGGCAGAGAAAATGACTGCCCATCTGCCGTTATGCCAGGGCTAGATAAAGGACAGGACTAACAGAAAAGCACAGACTGACATGAAGAGAACACAGGCCAGCCAAGTCTCAGAATAAAACGCCAGAGAAATGTGGATGGTCACATAAATAGCCAAGATGCAGAAGAATGTGGTACACTAGACAGAATAATGGAGAACTACGCTAAAATAAGGAATAATAAAAGAGCATGGTAGATGCACGACAGAAAAAGGTGATAGACTGTATAAACACACAGAGACATCTTGAATGAGCACCTACATGTTGCCCATATTCAAAAAGAAATTGGCAGTTTCCTAAAACTCCCAGGTTTAAGCACAAATTCTGTTACTCATAGGATGGAGGAATCCTTATTTTCATGCATCCATCCAGATGACATTTTGATTCTTAGTTAGAAAAAAAACCACAACGTTTTGCTGACTTTACTTACCACACCCAATTTACTAAAAAAAAAAAAAGGGTATATATCTGTGTTGCAAGGGAAACTAAAATTAAGAGGAAAAAAGTCAATGAGTTTTCCACTTCCTTGTGTCACAGGGCTGACATCATTCAGTAGATTCCTACTGGTTCCAAGGAGAGCCCATCAAAAACAAGTGAAAAAAAAGAGACGACTTCCAAGTTGGCTCATTAAGCTTCACAGAACTTTCTAAAAACACCTAGACTTTGTCTAAGCAAAGCAATGCTGGTCAGAGGAGTGGAAAAATTCCATTTAATTTTTTAAGAGACTATTATTCCAAGTAAAACTTTAGAGAACATTTTCAATTTGTTCAACTTCAAACATCAACCATAAGACAAAAGGTAGCCTTAAGATACACTACCTTTCTCTGTGCTCCCATTAATTTTAGGTATGAAGTCGTCAACTTGTATGCCTAGGATTAAGAAAGGGTATTATTTCTGGAATCAAGCAAAATGTTTTGGGTTTTGTTTCTTTATAAATACAGCACTGTGAAATGCATCTGGCTTTTCATACTACCTTCTCCTTCCAAGTATCTAATCTAATCAAACAGAGCAGACAAAATTTAATGTGTTTTCCTGCACTAGTGATCATGTTCCTGTTTGTTCAAATGTATAATGTATCTTCCAAAGAATTACTGCTTATTACATATATATACACACATATATAGGTATATAGATATACATATATAGATATTAAATCCTTTTATATGTATATGTATATAAAAACCTTCAAAACCTTGGAGCCAAGGGGGTGCAAACAGAGCTGTAAATTGAGCAATGACCCAGAAGTCTGAACGCTCAGAGCAGCAGTGCCCTCTACGGGCTTTCTGTTGTGGCCACAAGCCTTTCAATGTTAATAAGTGATACCATGAAGAAAGCACTACTGGGATAACTGGAAAACACTGCTCTTTTGCCAGACACCTCGACTACAAGATCAGTAGAATGAAAGTACTTGAACAGAAAATCTGGACACCAGCTTGAAACAAGAAACTGATGGCACCTACCTAAGCTGTTGTGTTCTTTAAGAGTTTTCTCTTGAAGATGCTCTAACCGTACTGTAAACAGAAGTCCAAGAAAAAGATATTTCACAGATTAAAAGAAAAACAAATAACCAAAGTTCCTTCCCCACTAGTGACTAACCTTGTAAAGCAGTTAGCCGCTCATTGGTGAAGTCATTATCAGCCTGCAAAGCTTCTATTTTTGCCTGAAGCTCTTGCTCTCTCTCTTCCATTTCATCTATTTTATGCTGCAATTCTTTTTTCTCAACCAGTCCTTTCTGCTGTATTTCTTCTTGTCTTCCTTCTGCTACCTGCTCAAAAAAGATTTTAAAAATCCCCAAACAAATAAAAATTAACATGTAAAGTAACAGATTTTCTTGATTGTTGTACTTAAGTGGCTTGCTTTGCTAGTCAGATTAAAAAAATGTACTAAAAATGGCAAAATTTTTCTACTGTTACTTTTCTATGAATTTTACTTCAAGGCAGTAACAGAGAGAAAGAATCTTAACTAACTTTTTGTCTGAAGAACTTAAGTTTCAAAGGAACAGTATCAGGGCCCAAGAACCAAGAAAAACCCAAAGTCTCCCAGCAACTCAAATCAATCGAAACCCGAGTCCTTCTGAACTGAACGTACATTGTACAGAACAACCTGGTTGGAAGTCACATCTCTTTCCTTGCTGAATTTCATAATAGTAAGCTTCAAAGACTCCCCTCCCTCAAAGCTAGGTAATAAGATTCAATTTAGATCCTTCATCATCACCATCAGTGATTAACTCAGAATTGGGAAACCACTGGCCTTGGAAAGAAAACTCTTCTGTCTGAGGTGCTGAACTAGGACTCAAAGAACCTAAGTTTAAATTCAAGTATTTATCCAAGACACTCTCAGGTCTACAAAGAGACCACTACTACCGTCCTCCTCCACATCTACTTATCTAGACGGGAGACTGTTTGGGAACAGGCCTTATCATACTATGATTATTTTGTTCTCCAGCAAAAAGGACCTTTAAATATTAATATACTTAGACATCTAGTCTAATAACAAACCTGATAGCACGCTCCTTTCCCCTGGAATCTGAGCCGTATTACTACTATGTGGTAGGCTAGTTATGTTTGTAATTGTACAACGAGGCAACATGAAATGCAGATTTATTGCTAATTCTAGTTTTCATTCCCATTTGCTGTAAGATGTTGAAAGTTATTTCTCTGTATAAAAGCAGCTGAATATAAAATTATGTAGGATATGAAACTTTATATTAAATACATTGCAGCTCCAAAATAAGGTAACTTTCAAAGAGAATGAAAAGGGAATCTTTTTAGCATTTTAACTGATGACACTTTCAAGTACACTAAATGTAGACCAACAGAACAAGTAAAAGATGATGTGCATATTTCTTTTCATTCACCTGTTGTTTAAAGAGTTTCTTAACCTTTGGTAGCTATATTAGAAATTAAATTCTATTTATTTGTTCCATGCATTATAGTATCACCGTAAGTCAGATAAAGTTCTGTGATTACCTTTAGTTTGTCAGAAAGATCTTTAATCTCATTTACAGCTCCATTGTACTTATTAGCTAATTCTCTTAATTCTTCCTGAGTCCGCTCATTCATTTCTTTCAGGTGAGTACATTCATCTTCTGTATTACTTAAGCTCCGCTGTAAGACAGAATTATTATGCAATAAACAATGAAAACCAATATAGATCAATAATGTACCAAACATTGAAGTTGATCTATTTTTCCCAGACAGGGTATGTAATTAACCATATTTAACGGCTTTGTTCTTAATCATTAAGGCTACGCAAACAGATCAAGTCCTGGCAAAAATGCTACCTATACAAACCTTTGTAATGTTCTACTTAAATAGATTATGTGAAAAGATGTTAACTTCATACATGTGTAAAAACCACAAACCAGAACACCCACAGTAAGTTACACAATTGGGATTTATAGGAATAAAGAACTGAAACATGTGATCCACCTCCCCTAAATATCTTCTATGATAAAATATGAAAGTCTTATAATATTTTGTAATTCAAGGTAAACAATAGATTTTATCATGTCTTTCACCCAGCAAACGAAGATTCAATACATTATAAGCACCAAACAAGTCCAAGGAAGTGTTCTAAACCTTTCTCTGAGCTTCATAATGTAAAAATGCACCTAAACTAGGATCCCCTTACTCAAGAGGCAGCTGGCTCTTGAGTGTACTTGAAAGGCAAGGAATGCTCCAGAAGTTTCCATCAGGTGATGATGGCAGCACAACTAATGGTGTATAGAGCTTCTTCCTGATCCCCTGATAGCTAAAGATTTGCTTCTTGATTCATACAAGTTTTTTGTTGTTGCTGTTTTTGTTTTTTGGTCTATTTTGGTAACAAGCTCTGACTTAGCTCTTCACCACTGATACAGACCCAAACACCTTGAAACAAAAATGCCAAAGTGCATTCAAAACTACACTATATAACAGTCATTAAAGGACAACTTTCAACCAGGAGGCAATAATTATTCTGTGTGGAAAGAAAATTATGTGGCAGGAAGCACTCAAGCAAATCTCTTACTAAAGTTAAATTCATATTTCTGCCCCAAGAGTCAAAGCAAAAAGTATAGTAAGTCAGAAGATTCTTCTCTTAGTACACGACTGGAAAGAAGAAAGCTAGAAGTAAACACAAAACTCCAACCGTAACGAACCCGTCAAGAACTATTACAACATGAGAAGGTGTATTTAACTGAAATCTCATAAGGTTATTTATTACAGCACTTATAACCATCACATTCTCCAAAAAGCATGAAGAGGTCAGACACCTTCAGCACTTAATTTTAAGCCTTACGATACATCTTCATCTAAGGGAACATGGCAAATAACGATAATGAAAAGAAAACATAAAGCAAAAGATAGTAAAGAGAAATAAAATAGGTGCAGAAATCTTATTTGAAGAATAAGAAGCTCCATTGGTGAATGGAGCTAAATCCAGTTGTGCCCAGTCACAAGTGGTGTTCCCCAGGGCTCAGTTTTGGGGCCACTCCTGTTTAACATCTTGATCAATGATCTGGATGAGGGGATTGAGTGCTCCCTCAGCAAGTTTGCAGATGACACTGAGTTGGGAGGGAGTGTTGATCTGCCTGAGGGTAGGAAGGCTCTGCAGAGGGACCTGGACAGGCTGAATCCATGGGCTGAGGCCAACTGGATGAGCTTCAACAAGGCCAAGTGCCGGGTCCTGCACTTGGGTCACAATGACCCCATGCAGCGCTACAGGCTTGGGGACGAGTGGCTGGGGCTGCCAGGCAGAAAATGACCTGGGGGTGTTGGTGGACAGCAGGATGACCATGAGCCAGCAATGTGCCCTCACAGCCAAGAAGGCCAATGGCATCCTGGGGTGTATCACAAGAGGTGTGGTTGTAGGTCAAAGAGGTTCTCCTTCCCCTCTACATCTGCAATATTGTGTTCAGTTCTGGGCCCCTCAGGTCAAGAAGGACAGGAACTGCTTGAAAGAGTCCAGTGCAGAGCCACAAAGATGATGGAGGGAGTGGAGCATCTCCCTGATGAGGAGCGGCTGAGGGAGCTGGGGCTTTTTGGAGAAGCTTGGAGCAGAGGAGACTGAGGGGAGACCTCATTCATGTTTATAAATTTGTAAAGGCCGAGTGTCAGGAGGAAGGAGCCAGGCTCTTCTCAGTGATGTCCAATGACAGGACAAGGGGCAATGGGAGCAAGCTGGAGCATAGGAGGTTCAATCTGAATACGAGGAAAAACTTTCTCACTGTAAGGGTGACAGAGCACTGAACAGGCTGCCCAGAGAGGTTGTGGAGTCTCCTTCTCTGCAGACATTCAAAACCCGCCTGGCCGTGTTCCTGTGTGACCTGGTCTGGGTGATCCTGCTCTGGCAGGGGTTGGACTGGATGAGCTTTCAAGGTCCCTTCCAACTCTTAATACTCTGTAACTCTGTGAAACTGTCCAACTCTGTAATCTTCACAGCTCATCCTTAACTGTAATTTGTACAAGTGGTTAAGCCTACATTTCTGTAAATTTTACAGTTTAAACAAGGTCTCACAGCATTTTTTCTAATGTATGGGTGTTGTTTTCACCTCACTTATTTCCCACACATACTAAATTCTGTAAGACACCTTCAGGAATTTTGGAAACTGGCAGAAAAAGGATTTGAAAGAAGAGTTTTTCTGTTTAACAATCTAAGTGTTGTCCAATAGGAGAAATGAACACTACTACTTAGCAGCAGTTATAAGTATTACAGCACCTCCAGAAGACTAGGCATGAAAATTCAATACCTCCACTTCGGACAGTTTTCTGACCACTTCAATTTTCTCCTGAAGGACCCGCCTCAGGGACTCTTTGGCTGTTGTCTCATAGTTGTGTTTGTCTTCTTGTAATGCTATCAGCTCTTTTCGTATACTGTCTTCGGTTTGATTCTGTACATATAAGATAATTCAGATACAAAGACAGAATATAAATTAGTATTTTGCTCATTAAAAATATTAGATTGTTTTAAGACCTGTTCTATTCCGAAATGTCTGAGCAATTTCTGGTAGATGGGAAAGTGTTATGGACAAATCAGCGATCAAAAAGATTCTTGACATGACTACGTGTAAACCAGTTATTCTTGAAGTGTATGTATGGCAGCACACATGCAATCAGCAGCTTTGATTATCTGGAAACTATGGGGTTTTTTTGCACTCAGCTAAAACAATGTAAAGCCTATGAGACTACAATGTCACGAACCAGAAACCTACAAGGTCCTATCTGAAAGAGCTCAAACAGGACGTGCAAAAAAAGTTCTTATGATGTAGGTAGTTGAGAGGAACTAAAATAAAATAATAATAAAAAAAATTAAGGCAGGCATAGGTGGCCTAGACAACAATCAAAGCAGGACATACTTGTTCCTTTGTCTCTGAATATCAGACAGTTCATTGATGCTGCCTTTTTTCAAATCCCTATTTGGAGAGAAACATCCACAGGAAACAGGACAGAATGGCTGTTTCTCACCGACGACAGAAATTCCTTTTTCTGCATTTCAGTACATATGTGTTCATATGCATATACAAAAGAAATCAGTTTGTGCTAAAAAACGCTGCAGAACAGCCATTTATCCAGATGTAAAATGATTCCATTAAATACAGACCCAAGCTACAGTTTTTACACTATTCAATTATCAAATTTGCACAGGTTCCTTTCAGAAAGTTTATGTCCCAACTGCTTTCCGATAACTAGCTGATTTCAAAACACTTCAAAGGAGCGATCTTTCAGCACTCCTAGTGTCCAACTTTAAGTGAACTACTCACCTTTGAACATGCCTGTAATTGATTTCCCATAACCTCCAGTCTCGATAGCAGCCTGTCTTCATCTATTAAAGCCTGGCAGAAAAGAAGTATTACCTTAGCATTAAAGTGCTTTATGTAGCTCCAGTAGAGTTCTGCTTTAAAGACTAATTTTGTTGGAGTATTTACTACTAATAGTTATTTCAAACTGGTACATAATCACTAAATTTATTAAACATTATCTTCTGCACAGTTTAAGAGAACTGCCGTAAGCTTTTTATTCTTTCTACCTTTTCCCCCCATTGTTTGTAAATTAATAGCTAAAGTTTATATGCTACTGCATATTTCAGTCCATAAAGGAAAAGGATGCCTGCAGATACCTGCCAACTAGTATCTGAAGCCTCTTGCGTGACAGCAAGTAGTCGCTGAAGGGTTGCCAGCTTCTGTTCCAACATTTGTTCCCGATGTAAGGCTTCCTATGGAGAGAGAAGAGCACCACTCAGTTCAGCTAGGACAACTCGGAAAAACAGAAGCAACACAAAGACATCAAAATACACAAAAAAGTGGAAGTGTAGGTAGCAAACACTGTCACATATTCAAAACTACAGTAAGCTCATCTCATTTTATCCATTCATACACTTTTTGCATATTTTAATTAGAAAATGTTATCCTATAACCTTCGATTCCTAAAAAAAAGTTAATTTTACATGCATATGTTGCACATGCTGACTACACATAATAACAAGTTATTCTCTTGAATAGAATAAGACACTGCCTTTTGTCAATAATCAGAGTAACAAAATTGTAAACACCAAAAGGCAGCTTGGCAGCTCCCACGTAATGAGCTGTTCATGCTCATACCAGGTCACAAAAAAAAAAGCCAAGCAAGAACTATTTTTGTTTGACTTTTGTTTTACAACAGTAAGATAGAAGAGCATCTTTATGAACAATTGCAGGATACAGAGAGTGAGCAGATTGGTGAGTGAGTACATGTTTGGCCTCTCAAGAAAGAGCATCTGCCTAAGCTGCTTCCTGCTATGTCAGCAAATACATATCATGTTAGTGTCAGTCTCCAAAGCCTCATCGTTGATGTGAGCAACCAAAAACTGCCATTACTGAAGAAAAACAGGCAAACAGTAGAACTATACATAAGTTAAAGCTACACAGAAGTTACCAGTAAGAATGTTTTCACATCTTTTTCAGAAACCTGATTTTATGATCCTTTCTAAAGAATTTATTTATACATACATTAGGCCACACGTTAATGTGTTGACATTTTGCAGTCTAACCCTTTCGTGACATGACATCTTAGGAGAAAACACACCTATTAAAACTGACACAGGAGCTGGCACAGAAAGGTCAGTGATGCCAATGAGGAAGAAGAGCTGTCAGCACTGTCCCACCTTCATACTTTCCAATAAATACAGGGATAGAAATATTCACACTAAGAAATTATAATCATAGAAACAAATTAATTTTTGACACATTAAATGACCACTTGTATTGCTATTCTTTGGCTCTACCAAAATTCTTATAGGTGTTCACAGTACATCCATAGCAGTGGATGATGCCAAAAACATTGGGAACAAAACAAAACCGGGGACAATGAGGCAGGACAGGAGAAAAGCCAGGACAAGAAGGTATAGAGTGTTCAGGGCGCTTTCATGTTACTTTCATAAAAGTTGTAATTCACACTGCTCGTGCAAAGCTGCAAAAGTTCACCTAGAGCTACACTGTGTTCAACTACAACACTGAATCATAGAATAGTTTGGGTTGAAAGGGATCTTTAAAGGCCATCCAGTCCAATCCCCCTGCAATAAGCAGAATCATCTTCTACTAGATCAGGCTGCTCAGAGGCCCGTTCAACCTGACCTCAATGTTTCCAGCAATGAGGCATCTACCATCTCTCTGGGCAGTAATGTTATACGCTATGTCACTACAGAAAAGGTGGTTAAATGCTTATCATGTTCTGGTTTACAAAATGCAAGTCAAACAAAGATATGCAGAGCATAAGATGTTAGTTTTGAATAATGATTAAATATTTAGCCAAATCGATGCTTTCAGAAAAAAAGTTACCTGTAGATACTGTGAAAGCTGAAACAATTCCTGAGAATACATACTGGGACTGTTAGCAGCAACCTGAAAAACAAAGGAGATTGAGAATCAAAATGGGTTTGGATTTTTCTTTAAATTCAAGTAATGCAAAATTCATCACTTGAATCTAGTCACAGAGGTAAACTCAAGATTATCTCACAACTGGCATTTTCAATTCTTTATTGTTCTGCTACTTTTTTTTTTCTTTTAAATCGCAGAACTTTCCAACCCTGAACTGAGACCCCACTGGGTAATGTCTTCACAAGTTCTTGAACCACCAGTGCACCAAAGAGTTCAAGGTTTTTGTTTCAGGTGAGATTAAAATGACAAAAAAACCCCATAAGGTTCACAAAGGCAAGGTGAAGCCATTTAACCCAAGGACAAACAGAAAGAAGGGATTTCCAGAACTGAAGAGAAAGTCTCTCATATTCCAATTGAATGTCACTGTCCTGCACACACACATTTCATCACACATTTTCTGTTGACTTACCAGCAGTCATCTTCATCATTGCCTTTTATAAGTATTTGTTTCAGATTTGAGGAATACCTATAATATTTCTAATCACAGCTGTTCTTGCTGCATATTAGCACCATCATCTTACTTGATTTCTACTCACATGCAATTAAAGTAAAAGCAAAACCAAGTAAGTTTCCTTAGTTTTTCAAAATTTTGTTCTTCACGTTTAAAATACTGATTCAGACCTATTTAAGCTAATCCTTCTTTTTAGATGCTACGAAGATCATCAATTCCTAATCACTTGTCTCCAGAGCACATCTACTGACAGCTGCTCTACAAGTCTCCCAGGGTATCAAAACCGAATTTAAAAACAACACTCAACATTACTGACTCCATGACTCTACCATGAGTGACTGTGGCTCTGTCTGCACAAGAGGAGCACAGAGGTTTGTTCTCAGTTTTCCTGTGGAGCATGCCAGAGCACTTTCCAGCCTATGCAGTGCAGCTTCTCCTCCATAAAGAACAAGATACAAGGACAACAGTCCTCATTGAAACACCAGATCATGAGCTACTCTTGGGTCCCACAGAACAGACCAAGCATGAAATCATGCAACACCCAAGACCTGCTAGTCAGTCAGTTTGTACCTGGAAATTTAACCATCTTAAAATTCATGGGGTTTTTTCAAAGCTATGTTTCAGATGCCATACTGTAAGTTGAGCTACCTTAAAATATACACTGAGATACTGCATTACCTTAAATGTCACTCAAAATATTAGATCGGGTAAAAACAGGCAGTGGAAAACACCTCTAAATGTAACTGGACTTCACCATTTCTTCATCTTTATAACAAGTCAGAAACCAGCAAACTACTGAATTACCTTGTCAACAGGACTTGGCAATGGAGCATGGATGACACTAAAAGAAAGAAATTAAAAAGTGAACACAAAGGGCAGAACAGCAGTTCAAAAACTCACAAGATCCCCAGTACTGAGCATTTAATCAAGATGCTTTGTATTTTTAAGTTCATTCTTCAGATAACAATGAAGAGTTCATATACAAACGTGCAAAACCAATTAATACTGTGCTAAGCGATGTTTTCAAAGTTGCACAACTATGTTCAAGTTGTAAACCCAAGGTCTATTCTAAAAGCTCCAATAACTTTAAAAAAAAAATCAAATCTTCTGTAACTCCTGAAGTAAAACTGATTTAAGATTTAAACCAATCTACACGCACTGTTTTCAAAGTTGCACAACTATGTTCAAGTTGTAAACCCAAGGTCTATTCTAAAAGCTCCAATAACTTTTTAAAAAAATCAAATCTTCTGTAACTCCTGAAATAAAACTGATTTAAGATTTAAACCCATTTACACGCACAAAACAATAGATCTGAAATGACAGGGGCTGTACTGCTCTTGTTTACAAATTAAACTGAGTAACTTACAGCATTTTGTGCACTTTCACCAGAGCAAATGTTATACTTGCACATTGTCATCAGGACTAAAAACCCTCTACCACCGTACGTTTCTACTGCTTCTTATCGGGGCATGCAATTACACGGAAAAATCCCCATAATAATTTGACTTATCTTCTCAGAACCAAAGGCACACTAAAGTTTCATGCAAATATTTCTGGATATTAATGAAAAAAGAATATTTAAAGAAATAATAAAACCAAAACTGCTGTTATATTAAAATTGTATCATTTGTAACTGGCACTTTGTTACTGAAAAACAAAATGTTCACATTTTTTGGTTTTTTTTCTACTCTCTGAAATTTTCTCCAAAATGTGCACATATACAGAGAGAGCCCTCTCAATATTCATCTGAGTCTCCAAACATTATTCCATCCAATACACTTTATGCTTTTTCCCCCCATGCCAGGCAAAGCTTTCCTTCATTGTGACACCAAATAACCGCACCACAAGGACACTTTACTGTATTACTTATCTGAAGAACATAAACAGTGTTATGTGTACACACACAGACATTTTTAACCTCATTTTAGTAAAGTCTACGTGCATTTAAAGGAGCAAAAATAATAACCCCAAATAAAACAGGAAAATGCTCATTTGCTTTCTTTTTTCCTATACTCTTCTGTCTATAACACCCATCCCAGTACACTGAACCACAGCCAGCCAGAAAAGCCCAAACTGGTAAGAACTTTCTAATTCTTTTATACAACTTCTTTATTCTTTCATAGGTGTCTTAATTCTAAAAGCGAGAAGAAAATGAGATTGCTTTTTCATAACACCTGCAAAAGAACCATGCTCTCAGTTATTTTCTTTGCACAATCACAGGAAAAGAAACTGTTCCAATGCTGATCTGAAACATAATAGCTGTCAAATCCTCATTATATAGTAGTTTAATTCTGCTACACACAAAGAGACATTTATTCTTACTCTGATCGCAATCGAGCTTCCATTCCATCTGGAAGAAACAATTTGATTGTGGAGACTATGCATCCGTGGGTAACTGAAAAGAAACAAATACAACGTCATGATGATTCGTAACTAATTAATTAAGTTCAGCAGTTAATGTTACAGTAACAGAGCAAACTGCCTTAAGACACTGAGGCAGGCACAGAAGAGCCCCAGTGCCTGGGTCTGCCCTCTCAGCCCTCCTCTGGAGATGGGAAACTTCATCACCAGAGACCTGAAGAGGTCCCGCTGTGCGCTGAGCCCTGGCTGGGAAGCAGTTCCAGTCTCACCTCTCACACAGGCAGCAATGCCTGCAAGTTGGCTTTACTGCAGCAAGGTTAAAGAGTGAACGCTAAGTTCTGATGATAACTTGAGGCAAAGGGAAGGCATCTTACCTGCACTAAGTAAGGGGGGTGCAGAAGGATAAACAAAACTATGAGCTACCTTTTTGTCAAGATTCTTATGAGCATATCCAGGGACTTAACAGGTAACACACCCAGTCTGTGTCGCCAGACACTCACTTCAACACCTGGAACTTGCCAAGTTATTGTTATTTACAAACACAAAGACCAAAAAGGGAACACAGAGAAAGAGAATAGGACCCACTGAGAAGTACATCCTATTGAACACTGCGAGCAGCATAACTCACGACCGTACATCTTGATTTTGGCAGGCGTGTAGCACACATCTAATGTACAGCCCTAGACAAGTGGACTCTCATTTCAGGAGGAGAAAGTTTGCTTCTCCAGGGCTAAATTCAAGATTCTTTGAACTCAAGAAAGATCCTAAGGAATAAGAAGAGGAAATGCAGTATTTGTTTCTTATATCAAGTTCAACCTCTCTTCACAACGTTTCCCAAGAATGTTCCCAATATCATTTTCGATGACACTGTTAACAGTCAAATTACATCTGTGGGTTGGTTTTTTTTTTCCTTGTATGGTTCTATGATTTTGGAAGTAAAAATTCTTTCCAGTCACACAAAGATACAGACGTGGGTCCCAAAAATACTACCACAACGTAGGTACAAAGAAGTATATGGTCATTTATCATCTACCACTCTACCTAAAGCACCCACCAACATACAAAGAGGTGCTCTACTTTCACAGTTATTAATATCAGCAAAACAGTTAATCTGGCTTTGGGAAAAAAGAAAAAAGAAAGGCAATGAGTGTTTTAGGACAACGACAGTACTCCAGGGAAACGAGACATTGAGGAAGCTACCTCGATAGAATCTAAAAATAAAGGAGAAGTGATCCAACTAAGCAGAGCTCTTCTTAACCTTTATTCAGTGCTAAAAGCTAATGCTTTGGAGAAGTATGCTCTTGGCTACAGCACCTTGTTTTTTCAAGCTGACCTGGTAAAGTATTAAATTTAAATGCCAGGGAAGAACAGCCAGGACCTCAATCTCAAAACAGATTAATCCATGGGTACTGGTATCTTTTTTGGCTTTAGACTCAGTCCCCAAAATTCATACATTTCTTCTTGCAAAAAAAACAACCTAGTAAAATACATGAACAATATAAGCTGTAGCATATACTACACAGCTTTTGTCAAGAATCTCCCTTTTAAGGCATAAAGAAGAAATCAGTGATTTCAAAAAGAAAGTATCAGGGTATCTGAAATTAAAGCTCAACAGACAGCTATACCCTTGGGTCAGACAGGCCTGCTGTGAGACGATATAATTACAAAGTTTGTCCATCAACACTCAGACTGGTTAATAAAAATCCCATAAAAGCAGAAGGAGATTTACGTGTGTAGAAATAATAAGAGATAAAAAGGGATTTAGCAGAGGGTCTCAAATCGACAGTGACTGTGAAAAGGTACCAAGCATTTTGATAAGTTTATAAAATAAAAATCGTAAAAAAACCAAACAACCGCAACACCTGCACTGTCCTTTAGCTATTAATAAGAAGAAAGCCTAAGAGAAAGGGAAAGCAACATATAAAACATTATTGCAGTGATGACTGGACTGGACAGTAGCAATTGTTAAAAGTCTGTATTACTCCTTTTAGGGGAAAAAACAAAAAAGCCGGTAAAGCAACCTCTGGTTGCCAAATAGGACCGAGCACATTCTTCTCCACCGGACCGCGCTCCCTCCTCTCCCCACGCCCCGTGACACGCACTCACCTGCGGGCGACTGCCAGGGCT